GGGGACAATGGATGGGGACAATGGACAGGAGCAATGGATGGGGACAATGGATGGGGACAATGGACGGGAGCAATGGATGGGGACAATGGACAGGGGCAATGGACGGGGACAATGGACGGGGACAATGGACGGGGACAATGGACGGGGACAATGGACGGGGACAATGGACAGGGACAATGGACAGAGATCGATACACAGAGACAATGGTCAGCTCGTAGGGTCTTCTGCAGTTTTGCTATTAGGAAGTACCGGCCAGCTTTAACGGCACACTAATGGCCAACAGTTATTTTTGTAGCTTTGGACGAGAGTGTTAGAGAAGGGAACAATACCAGAAGCAGAGTCCAGGCTGAGGTACAAGATAGGGTGATCCAAAATGCGTTGTCAGAGTACAGTCCGGGTGGAGGCAGGCAGCGAGTATCATAAACGGTGAGGCAAGCCAAGAGTCGATAACCAGGAGATCCAAATAGCAGGGAAGGGAGACAGGAGACAGGAAATGAGGTGCCGTAGCTGCTTTGGGAATGGCAGAATAACTCAGCAACAAGTCTTGGCTCTGGCTGGGATTTAAACCCAGTAGGGGCCAGCGACGCCCTCGTTGTGTGGGCAACCAGGAAGCCACAGGACCAATGGGATCGGCTGGGAGAGAAGGAGTGCTCGGCAAGGCCCTCCCCGGCAATGACCAGCACCCCGAAGCGACTAAGAAGCCACGGCAGTGCCACATGCGCACGTCACGCACGCATGTCATGCATGCTCTCACGTGCACACCTGCAGCCTGCCGCCAATTCAGCCCAGGAAGGACCCTACGATCTCCGTCGCACCCACCGGACCCCAGGTAAGAGGGCACCCCTGGCACCACGACAGAGAGTGGGGCCAGGGTGTGAGATTCACCTTCTCTATTAATTTCCGGTGACATTGGGAGAGATGGTTATGGTAATGAGAGATGGTTATGGTAATGAGAGATGATTATGGTAATGAGAGATGGTAATGGTAATGAGAGATGTTTATGGTAATGAGAGATGGTTATGGAAATGAGAGATGGTTATGGTAATGAGAGATGATTATGGTAATGAGAGATGGTAATGGTAATGAGAGATGTTTATGGTAATGAGAGATGGTTATGGAAATGAGAGATGGTTATGGTAATGAGAGATGATTATGGTAATGAGAGATGGTAATGGTAATGAGAGATGTTTATGGTAATGAGAGATGGTTATGGAAATGAGAGATGGTTATGGTAATGAGAGATGATTATGGTAATGAGAGATGGTAATGGTAATGAGAGATGTTTATGGTAATGAGAGATGGTTATGGAAATGAGAGATGGTTATGGTAATGAGAGATGATTATGGTAATGAGAGATGGTAATGGTAATGAGAGATGTTTATGGTAATGAGAGATGGTTATGGAAATGAGAGATGGTTATGGTAATGAGAGATGATTATGGTAATGAGAGATGGTAATGGTAATGAGAGATGTTTATGGTAATGAGAGATGGTTATGGAAATGAGAGATGGTTATGGTAATGAGAGATGATTATGGTAATGAGAGATGGTAATGGTAATGAGAGATGTTTATGGTAATGAGAGATGGTTATGGAAATGAGAGATGGTTATGGTAATGAGAGATGATTATGGTAATGAGAGATGGTAATGGTAATGAGAGATGTTTATGGTAATGAGAGATGGTTATGGAAATGAGAGATGGTTATGGTAATGAGAGATGATTATGGTAATGAGAGATGGTAATGGTAATGAGAGATGTTTATGGTAATGAGAGATGGTTATGGAAATGAGAGATGGTTATGGTAATGAGAGATGATTATGGTAATGAGAGATGGTAATGGTAATGAGAGATGTTTATGGTAATGAGAGATGGTTATGGAAATGAGAGATGGTTATGGTAATGAGAGATGATTATGGTAATGAGAGATGGTAATGGTAATGAGAGATGTTTATGGTAATGAGAGATGGTTATGGAAATGAGAGATGGTTATGGTAATGAGAGATGATTATGGTAATGAGAGATGGTAATGGTAATGAGAGATGTTTATGGTAATGAGAGATGGTTATGGAAATGAGAGATGGTTATGGTAATGAGAGATGATTATGGTAATGAGAGATGGTAATGGTAATGAGAGATGTTTATGGTAATGAGAGATGGTTATGGAAATGAGAGATGGTTATGGTAATGAGAGATGATTATGGTAATGAGAGATGGTAATGGTAATGAGAGATGTTTATGGTAATGAGAGATGGTTATGGAAATGAGAGATGGTTATGGTAATGAGAGATGATTATGGTAATGAGAGATGGTAATGGTAATGAGAGATGTTTATGGTAATGAGAGATGGTTATGGAAATGAGAGATGGTTATGGTAATGAGAGATGATTATGGTAATGAGAGATGGTAATGGTAATGAGAGATGTTTATGGTAATGAGAGATGGTTATGGAAATGAGAGATGGTTATGGTAATGAGAGATGATTATGGTAATGAGAGATGGTAATGGTAATGAGAGATGTTTATGGTAATGAGAGATGGTTATGGTAATGAGAGATGGTTATGGTGAATCCACAATGGTAGAGCAGTCAATGGAAGAACATAGAAAAAACATATAAACAGCGCTCTCGGATGGGCAACAAATTAGCTTAGAGGCGTGTGTGCAGCCCTGGAAAACAGGAGGAGAACCTGTGGATTGTAAATATTCAAAAAACCAAGAAAGGGCGCAGAGAACACTGGCTAGTTAACAAAGTAGTGATGAAAAACTGAAGGTGGTGGCACTTACGTGTGAATGCCAGGATCTGGAGATGGACGGCCGGTATGGAGGATCGGGGCACTCGTGGTGTGGTGTCCGACTGTGATCGATGTATTGATCCAAGAGGTATATCCACGGGAGAGTGTAGATGAGAAGAGGGGACTTCGTCTGAAGTGCCGTGAGGGGTCTGTGCGGTGTGGGAGAGAGGCAGGGGGATCGCTGTGTTATCGGCAATAGGCAGCGGGCAATGGACGGGGCTGTAACAGCCGCAGCTGTGTGTGTCTCAGCGAGCGGTAACTGTCAGATCTGCTGGGGACCATGTGCAGAAGCCGCAAGTCGAATCCAATGACGTGTTGGAGAGGGATCATTCAGACAGGAACCGGGTGTTGGATAGGGCTGTGGCAGCCGTGGCCGCGTGTGTCAACGAGCTCTAGTTAACAAAGTAGTGATGAAAAACTGAAGGTGGTGGCACTTACGTGTGAATGCCAGGATCTGGAGATGGACGGCCGGTATGGAGGATCGGGGCACTCGTGGTGTGGTGTCCGACTGTGATCGATGTATTGATCCAAGAGGTATATCCACGGGAGAGTGTAGATGAGAAGAGGGGACTTCGTCTGAAGTGCCGTGAGGGGTCTGTGCGGTGTGGGAGAAAGCCAGGGGGATCGCTGTGTTATCGGCAATAGGCAGCGGGCAATGGACGGGGCTGTAACAGCCGCAGCTGTGTGTGTCTCAGCGAGCGGTAACTGTCAGATCTGCTGGGGACCATGTGCAGAAGCCGCAAGTCGAATCCAATGACGTGTTGGAGAGGGATCATTCAGACAGGAACCGGGTGTTGGATTCTCATCTACACTCTCCCGTGGATATACCTCTTGGATTAATACATCGATCACAGTCGGACACCACACCACGAGTGCCCCGATCCTCCATACCGGCCGTCCATCTCCAGATCCTGGCATTCACACGTAAGTGCCACCACCTTCAGTTTTTCATCACTACTTTGTTAACTAGCCAGTGTTCTCTGCGCTCTTTCTTGGTTTTTTGAATGGAAGAACATAGAAGAGATCTTCCATTTTGGACACCTTTTAGAGGCGTTCCCCTTTTCTTTGGAGACATTTCTTCTTGTTGTGTCTTCAAGATAGGAAGTGGCGGGAGATCTTACAAATGGGACGAAGACACAAGTCTAGGCTGTGTGTCATGGCTGGGGGTAAGCTCGGCATTAGGGATTAGGGTTAGTGTTGGGTTTAAGGTTTTTGGCCAAGGACAGATAAAAAGGTTCCAGATCGCTCACCTCTCGATCCTGTCGACAAGGTGGGAGGTAGTATCTACATATCTAACTGGGGGCTTTAGCTGACATTTGAATATGCTGGGCCTCCATCGTGTCCCTGTGCCTTTAAGGTGGTTGGGCTCCCTCCAGGAATACCTGCACCCAATTCATCCTTGTCAGAGCACAATGAAAACCAGACAAGCAAAAGGTGCTAGTTAAAATATTTATAGAGGACCGGGTCCACAGGAGCAAGCAGAATCTTAAACCGGAACAAGCCAAGGTCAGGAGCCGGAGTGGGTAGTCGGCCAAGCCAGGAACACAGAGATAGGCGTCGTCAGGGACAGGTCAGGAAATCAGCGTCGTCAGGAACAGGCCAGGAGCAGGAGCCAGAGGAGAACGTCAGCCAGGTATGGGATACTCAGAGCAGCAGGAAAGCACTAGCAGGAAGACCACGCAAGGTCAGACTGGACTGAGTGGTTTATATATAGTGAGTGGGGTGACATCATCACTCAGAGACAGGAAACTCCCATCTGGCTCTCTCAGATGATGCTCTCCTCCTGTCTGGCCATAAGAGGGAGCCTGGGAGTAGTGAGCAAAGTTCCAGAGTCTGCTCAGGCAAAGAAGGAAACCCAGGTGAGTAAAATGGCAGCCAAGCCAGAATGCTGCACACCAGTAAAGTCCGGGCGGAACCCTGACAATCCTTTGCTATATATGCTCCAATATGGCGGCGCCCATAGATTACAGTACAGACTATGCCACACAGATGGGCCTTGACCAGGCAGTACGGCTTCCAAATATTTTACAAAAGTTGCGCAACTAAAACCTCTGATTCTAATTTTTTATTAAAAAATTTAATTTTATTTTGTCAGACAGAGTCATATGTTTACGTTGCAGTCTAGCCGGCCAGCGTGCTGGGAGACGATCCTGTGTGTAGCTCTCTGCTCCGCATGTTCATGACTGACCTGCATTTTCTTCTCTCTCACAGCTGGAGCAACAGACCCAGTCCCAGTGCTGCTGCCTCCTCCTTGTGTCCGAAGAGAGTCACCAGCTCTTCTGCCAGGTAAGAGCGCAGAGCATATACACCGCTGACACAACAAAGAGAACCCGTCTCTCTGTGACCAGATGGAAGTTCTCAGACGTCTCTGTGTGTTGTTGAAATTTAAGGAATGTGTAAAAAAAAAAAGTTTCGATTTGTTTTTGGTTGAAAGTAAAAGTTTTTTACTTTTTTTGACTATATTTATAAATCTTTATTAAAGGAGAACTATGGGGTCAGGGCTTTTCCCCATAGTTCTCCTTAGGGTAACGGGAGGACACAAACTAGCGTCCTCCCGTCACCCTAAGCTCAGTATATAGAGAGCTACAGCTCGCGGTATACTGAGACGCCGCAGCCGGGACGGATCCCCGACAATTGTGCCGGGATCCGCCCAGCTGCGTGAGTGACAGCTGGCTCTGCCTATCTAGAGGCAGAGCCAGCTGTACCCGCCCCCTCCCCCGTCTGTTTCGCCAGTCAACGCTGGAGGATCGGAGTGGGGAGGGGGGAATCCAGCCCCTCCCCTGTCACGGCAGAGAGCCGTGGCAGGATCGAGAGGTGAGCGAACGCCGGTATGTGTTCGCTCACCTCCCGATCTACTGAGCCGACCTGTGACAGTCTCATTGTCACAGGTCGGCCAGAACTATGAGGTGAGTGAAAAGCCCCTCCCCCTCCCCCACCTCATAGTTCTCCTTTAACAATTCACCAATTATAAATGATCTCCCAGTGCTGTAACCCCTCTGAAGGCTTTGTATTGAAATTCCGATATTGAGAATAGCGATGGGAGTCATGTGACCTCACCGACACTCGCATTGCATGGCGTCCATGACCCTCTTACCTGTTATAAAGGAAATACCAGGCTTATCATAGGGAACCTTGAAAATGTGAACTGCCGGCTATTGTGACTCTTGAGAGAGTCAGGAGTCCTTATTTGTATACCTTCTGGTCACTGACCAGGGAACGAGCATTTTTAGAGAGGGCTGCAAGGGGAATCTCATAGTAGGAGGGGGGGGGCAGGCAGAGCAGCATGGCCAATGTTTGCAGTGTGTCTGTTGCCCCCTTTCTGGCCAGAGTGTCCCAGGTTGCTAAGAGCCTGGCCAGGGGAGGTGTGTGCGCAGGCCATAGACATCTCATTGGTTGACGTCAGCGACGTCATTGGCTGCCAGAAGCCCGGTGGGAGGCTGAATAATGCTAACAAGCCCCCAGTGTGATGGCAGAGGCGTCCCGAGGCGGGGGTGACACCCAGTGCGGATACCGGGTGACACCCAGCAGTGACATCATCGCGTACGCTCGTGATGATGTTACACGCGGTACCGCTGTTACCTGCCGGCAGCCATCTTGGTGATGGACACCGGCGGAGAGAGAAGGAGGAGACCTCACCCGGCGGAATAAGGTATGCCGCCGTGTCCCCTCCTCTCTCTCTCGAGCAACTGTCGTGCTCCCGGTCCTTGACCGAGTGCCCGACTTTTCAGAGTGGGGTGACACTAAAATGACTGTCAGTCATTTTGGCGTCACCCCTCCAATGGTGTGACCCGGGTGCAGGCCGCACCCCCCTTGTGACGCCACTGGTGACATGTCCTCTTTATGGAGACATCAGGGGGTCTATTAGACCCCTGATGTCACCTATGGAACTCAAAGAAGCTGATGAAGGACAAATCTGCTCCCTCAGCTTCTTCTCCGGCTACAGAAGCTGAAGAAATCACAGACTCAAACCGCAAGTGATATCACACACGTCACTTCCACTTTCAGTGACTGAAGGGGAGATCAGCCATGGGATGGTGCTGATCTCTCTCTGATCAAGGTACACAGAGCCGCCGTGCCCAGGATTCCCCACAAGGCCCCCGGGACCCGTCCTCGGGGCGGCAGCGGTGTGAAATCCCCCGACGCCCAGAAAATGTACATTTAGCCCTGCTTTGGGCAACTTAGAACTCCTGTATTGGAGGTGACAGGGGGTCAATAAAGAGAACCTGTCACCTCCAAAGGCTATCACACAGGGGGGCTTGTTAGCTCCTGTGTAATAGTACAGTTAGCTCCTGTGTAATAGCACAATTGCACTTGGGAGCTACACGTGCTACATACGCCCTTGTATTGCCGGTCATGTATAGTTTGGCCAGTGCCCCCAACTGGTTGGAGTCTTTTGGATACAGCAGGGAAGAATTACAACCCCTATCAGGTTATTTTTTCTTCCGCCTGTTTCCTGATGAGATTGCCCTTCACTTTGTGACCCGGAGACGCTCCCCCCAACCTCATTCCGATCTCTATTGTCTCTTCACCCTTTTCGTGTCTTCAAAGAGAACATCAAATCCAATTTTCTGTCTCGGAATCCCGCCATCAGTCTGAAACTTCTTCAATAGAGAACTGCCCCCCCCCCCCCCTCCC